CAGCCAAGTTAGGGTCCACAGGGGTGGAGCTGGGGGTGTCAGGAGAGGAAAGTTGTTAAAGTTAATATTCATAGAACCCCTACAGTGTGGAAACATGCCCTTCGGCCCAACAAGTCCACACCAACCCTCAGAGCATCCCACCCAGACTCATCCCACTAAAACCCACTTAATCTACACATCCCTGAACCCTATGGGAAATTTAGCATGGCCAATCCACCTAACCTGCACATCTTTGGACTGTGGGAGGAAACCAGAGCACCCGGAGGAAACCCACGCAGAGAATTTGCAAACTCCACACAGACAGTCACCTGAGGGTGGAATCGAACCTGGGCCCCTGGTGCTGTGAGGTAGCAGTGCTAACCACTGAGCCGCCGTGCTGCCCTGAAAGTGTTTACGTATGTATGTGTCTCCATCTAAAACAGTCACAGCTGCCAGGTGGCGAAGAAAACTCCTGCCCCATTGCAGTTGAGGATGGCCTAGATAGGTCATGAGGGACCAGGCACCAGGAGTCTATCTCCACAGCAGCCACTGGTGTTGGCAGCACCTTCAAGTGAAAGGCTTGCAGTCGGCCCTTGATATTTTTCCCCCAAATCAATCAATTCAGAGATTTTGCAACACCTCTCTGGAGCAGGTGAGATTTGAACTCAGGTCTCCTGGCTCAGAGGCAGGGGCATTACCATTGCACCACAGGATTCGCACAGCATGTTTACAGATTGTAAAGTGCTTGAATAGAAACTAAGTTGTTGTTCCTCCAGCTTGCGTAAGTTTTTTTGGAACATTGTAGCAAGCACAGGACAGCAAGATGTTTTATTGAGATCACAGCGACTGTTCCCTTCGTGACTATCTGGTCCACTCCTCCATTGCTCTGAACACTTGCTAAGGCCCACCACCCTCCCCTTGCACTCACCGCACATTCATGAGCAATTACAGAAAGTGTAACACTTGCCCTTTGATCACTTCCCTCCCTACCATCCCAAAAAAAGCCCCAAACACACATTCCAGGTGAAGTTGTGTTTTGCTTGTACTTCTTTCAATGTAGTATACCATAATCGTGACTCACAATGTGATGTCCTCTACAGTATTAATTGCAGACTGGGTGACTGGCTTGTGGAATACCTCCACTCTCTCCATTAGAGTAACACTGAAATTCCAGTTGCCTGCCATTTCAATTTCACATTACTTCTCTCAAGATGCACCCTGATTAAATGAAAATAGATATATTGATTTTTAATAGTCCCAATTAGGACTTTTTTCTTGACGTAGCGAATTCGTCTATAGATTCCTAAAACTTTTCTTATCTCAGCATGGTTTGCGCAGTGTTCCCTCTAGTTTTCTTTTTTTATGTGTGGACTGATTCTATTTTATTGTGCTAAAATATAACAAAGAACTGTGTTCTGATGAAGAGTCACTTGATTCGAAAGTTTAACTGTGCTTTCTCCTCACAGGTGCTGCCAGACCTGCTGAGTTTCGCCAGTAATTTCTGTTTTTGTTTCTATCTTATTATGCGCTGTCCCCAGAACTACTCACCGTTCATTGGCTATCCTGGAATTGACCGCCATTCCTGCCACTAGGGTAATCTTTAAAAGCCCAGACAAAACTGTAGTACAAGACACATGCCCCAGACACAGCAAAAATGGGGAAACTAAAGACCTATTTTGCAGACAGTGTCTTGGAGGTGCTGCTGGACCGTATGAGCACAGCCGAGACTTCCTCTTCTAAGATGCCAGTACAGGAGGCCGTGACACCAGACCATGCCAGTTTGGACTGAGGTTGCTACCCAGGTTAGAACAATTTTTGCCATCTGGAAGAATGCCCAGCACTGTCGGAAGAAGGTCAATGAAATTTACCACTGCACAAGGGTAAGTGCCACCATCTTCTTTATCTCTCTATCTCAGCTGCAGTGTGAAGACACAAGCTCTACGACTCTCACTATTACTGCAGTTTCATCTGCCATTCACTGTTGCCCACCCCAACTCTGATGCCCTAAACCCTGCATATCCTCTGTGCTGCCTACTCATTGTTTGGGCACCTCAACCCCCTGCATAAAACTTTTATTCCTGCCTCACTCTCACTCCAAGAGCAAACCTGCCTCCTGTAGGGCAGAAAGAGTCAAGAATCTTCATTCTTTTTGTGGAGGGCATCCTGTCACTGAATGGCCAACTGACCCTGACTAAGTCCCTGGATAGATATCAGAAACTGCCCTGACTTATGGTGCCAGGCCCCCCTGAGGGAAGGCTTTGAAATGACCCAGGTCTACTGATAACCATGACAAGCTTCCTGGCTTTGTGTCTTTGTTAAATGGTAAGGCAATACAGAAGTAATGTCTACCTGCTCTGTCTTCCATGTTAAGTATTCTGAACTTCTGGCTTGTTTGATGTGTTTGCTAATGTGTATCTCTGGCTGAGAGGGAAATGCACAGCAGCAAGGCAAGGCAATGCAAGCCAGGGATTCTGCCAGCATCCAGAGTCAGTGAGTGCTTTGACAATAAGTGAACAGGCCAGTGATGCAGCCTGGTCCAGTCATGAGCTGGGTGTCCCTGAGTGCACAGTGTTCTTGCTGCAGCATTACAATGATATCTGCAGGTGGAGCCTGAAGTGTAGCATTATAGTGCAGAAGCATCTCGTAAGTAGATTGGAAATGTGCCATGAGGTTTCTTAGATGCTGTTACATATAGAGCGCCAATGTCAGTGGATATGGCATGAATGTAGAAAGTGCTCATGGAGCATTCCCTGAGATGTTGGTGCCCAGTGTCCAACATAGACTGATAGGGTCAGAGTCATAGAGCATGGAAACAGACCCTTCGGTCCAAATCTTCCATGCCAACCAGACATCCCAATCTTACCTAATCCCATTTGCCAATATTTGACCCATATCTCTCTAAACTCTCCCTATTCATATACCCATCCTGGTGCATTTTAAATGTCATAATTGTACCAGCCTCCACCACTTCCTCTGGGAGTTTGCTCCATACATGCACCACCCTCTGTGTGGAAAAGTTACCCCTCATGTCCTTTTTATATATTTCCCCTCTCAACTTAAACCTATGACCTCTTGTTTTGGATTTGCCCCACCCTAGGAAAAAGACTTTTGCTTTTCACCCTATCCGTGCCCCTCATGATTTTATAAACCTCTATAAGGTCACTCCTCAGCCTCTGACATTCCAGGGAAAAAATTCCCAGCCTATTCAACCTCCCCCTATAGCTCAAACCTTCCAATTCCGGCAACATCTTTGTCATTTTTTTCTGCATCGTCTCAAGTTTAACATCTTTTCTTTGGAAGAATGACCAGGATTGTATGCAGTATTTTAAAAGTGACCTCACAATGTCCTGTACTGCCGCAATATGACATCTCAACTCTCTGAGTAAGTGCAAACTGAAGTCACCAGGTATCTGACCTGACTTCCATGGTGAGTATTCTCAGCACCTATGTTGCTTCATGTGTTTGCTAAGATAGGAAACTGAATATTAATGAGGTGAGCAGTGCCTATAATAAGATGTTTGCCAAGCTAAAATCCCTTTAATAGGTCACTCTCTTTGCCTGTGAGAAACTTGCCTCACAGCTCAGAAAATGTATAAAAGCATCAGTGGGATGCTCTTGACATGGAGATAGGATTTTCCAACTTCTCTATACAATACTGCACAAATCTCACAGTAGCCCATGTCACTCAGGTCCCTATAAGATTTTACTCTGTGTCCTTTTATGTGTCTTTCTCCTCCTTGAACTCTCAATACTTTTGCCATAGTTAGCACTTCCATTGTCTCCAATGTCATCTCTAGGGAAGTGGCTTTCTGAATTTTTTCTTACGTGAAACTATTGAAGTAATCATTATGCTGCTTTTGACTTGTACCAATGGTGACATCCGGGTGCTTATCTGTTCAAGAAGGTGTGTAATTTCATTAGCATTTAGAACAAAGCCTCAGTATGTTCATCATTTTACAGATAAAACAATCCAGTTCAAGCCTCAAAAGCAATTGTGATCCAGTCTCCCGCTTAAAGTTTGATGGTGAAAGACAGCTTCCATTTTAACTCAACTCGTTCAAAACTGCACGGCATTACTCATTTGATGGCTTGAGCATAGAGTTTGAAATGCTGATGAATGGGATTTGCAGCCAGTGACATAAGCAACTATATGTCAGATGTTTACTGAATCAATCAAAACTCCGTTATGCAAAATGCACGGAGGAAATAATGTTCAGACATTATTTTCTGGGACAAGATTGATCAATTGATCATTTTACTTCAAATTTATCAGCTGTAATATGAGTGAAGGTATTTCTGAAAATTCTGTGAATTAATTCAAATATATATGTGTGGGAATAAAAATGAATCTTAAAAAAAGAACATAGATAATCTGGTCTGCTCCTGCCAAATGACCTGTTGTCTTTCAGAAACTGTCAGAGACAGTAGGAGACAGCCAAAACAGGTATATTAATTCCTTGTAAATTGAATCTTATTCTATTGTTTGTAAGTATTCTGATGCTTATCCTGCTGTATCTTTTCACTTCTGTGTATTATTTTGCTTAAATGGAAATACTTTAGCTGAGATATACTGGTCTGACAGCATTGTTTGATTTTCCTTTTTAAGGTGACAGGAGAATGTGATGGGCATTTTTGTTTATCCCTTGATATATTTCAAGGAAGTGTTTTATTTAATATGGTGGAAATGATAAACCTAGCCACTCTGTCCTGTACATGGTGGTGGGTAATGGCACCCGTTCAGTTTATGAGTAACTTGGTCTCTTTCTGGAAGCTGCCACAGAGCTATTAACTTGACAGCAAGCATGAAAAGAAAGCTCAAAATATAACATTTAAACAGAAAGCAAATTCGCTGCATCAGCTGTGCATTCCCAAAGACATGCTTGCTACATATATGGGGAGAGTCAGAGATACATCTGTAACATTTCCCCTCAACTCTTCACCCTTCAACCAACCAGTGAGCAGCTGTTCTCGGACTGTTGACTTCCTGAACTTGTCTCTGTTGAAATTACTAAAGCAGCTTTCCTGTAGTTGTGGAATGTAATTTATTTTCACCAATACAAAAAACATTTCCTGATTAAGTGCTTGTAAAATGTTAATTAAGCAGAATTTTGTTTATTGCTTTTTTTTTGTAAAACAGACATTGAAGTTGGATTTTTGTTGGATGGTGGTAAGTAACAAATAAAGTATTTGGATTTTGATAGCATTTTAAAGAGCACAGAACATCCTAAACTGTTTCACAGCCTGTAAAATACTTTTGAACTGTAATTACTTTTTCTGATGTATTCTGCAAATCGACAAAGTTCTGGCTTCCCTTTCCACTAGGAACTTGCAGACCACCTAAACTTCCAACCCTCACCAGAAAGGCCTGTGAACTTTTGCTCCTTGCCCAAACAATTAAAGGGTCTAGGACCGAAACGTCAGCTTTCCTGCTCCTCTGATGCTGCTTGGCCTGCTGTGTTCATCCAGCTCTTCACCTTGTTATCTCTAGTCTCCATCTGTCACCACTATCCTCTACCTATCTGTGTTTGTTTTTGCTTTACACAACTTTCATTTAATTCTATTCACCACCTCCAGATAAAAAATGTTGTTATGTCAACCCATATGAATCCTAAGTATTTTGTAAAATATTTTAAGTACTCCTTTTTGTACCAGTCTTACACAGAAACCCTCCTAATGCCTGTGTCCATCACATCAATGACATCAAAGAGTGGTGTGGTATACAGAAGTTTCAGTGGCAAGGCTACAGGCTAGAAAAGGAGCAATTTTGTTGGGAAAACTCTAATGAAACTGAGCTGGGACCATCGTATGAGTGAGTCAAATAGTTAGGTTTGTAGTTGGAGGTTCAAACTTAAAAAAAGGTGTTGGGAGAAGTTTCAGGTGACAGGTGACAGGTGAATTCTAATTCTGAAAAGGAAAGTTAAAATCATAGAGCAGTGTAATGACTTGAGTAAAAGATCAGCAGTGTAACAGAAAGGAACAGGGAGTTTAGTGATAATAGTGCAATGGTGAATAAGGTAATATCAAGAAAAAGGGGTAAGATGTTCACATTAAAAGGTATGTTATGTGAATGCAAAAAAAAACAGATTTGTATCAATATAGATGAATTCATGGAGAAATAGATAGCCATTTGTGGAATGGAACTAACAGCCGCTACAGAGAAAAGGGTCTGGATTTTTACCCTTAAGGCAGGTAACATGACTCAGGAAAATTTGTGGCTTTGCAGTCGGCCTTAGGAGAAAGTTTCCGCAGAGATGAGATCTTCATTGCACTGGTATGGGAAGTTAATTATGCAATCTTGGTTGAGAGTTTAGACATCTGTTAAATTGTTGAAACAGCTGAGCCCCAAGGAAAATATTGTTTGATTAGAAGCTCTGGCCCTCTGGTCTATTCTGTTGATTGCATAATGTATATTTACATGATATAGAGATGTTCAGGTTCTTGAAGTTACTGTTATTGATGGTTTGAAGGGGCTGAATGATCCACGTTTCAAATCCCCGAATTAAAAGGATTTTTTTAAGGGAAGTGTAAAATTACCAATGACTTTTTAAAGTATTTTTTCCTGTACTAAATCATCATTATAGACTTCATTAGTTCTATAGGGTCTATGGCAGACAAATAAGCATGAAAGGACTGTATCTTGGCATGGAGGAAATAAGGAGACATGGCAGGGTGGATGGGGTATACAATTTGGCACAGGGACATGTGACCATGGGGGGGCACAAGTGTGGAATATAACGTACGATTGGCCTTGAGGGAACATGAGGAAGGTAGGAGTGGGGGGAAATTGCTTAGCATTTAGAACATGAGGAAGACCTCTTAACCCTATCTTTCAAAAACTTCCCTCATGCAGACTATGGTTCAAGGTGGGAAAGCAGTGATGTTGTGGTAATATCACAGGTCTAGTAATCCAGAATCCCAGGTTGATATTCTGGTGACATGAGTTCAAATCCCAACATTGCTGGTGCTAATGTTTGAATTCAATACAAAAAGAATCTTAAATAAATAAGCTAGTCTAATGGCAGCTATTACCCATTGTCGATTGTCATAAAAACCCATCTAGTAAACTAATGTCTTTTAGGGAAGGAAATATGCTATACTTACCAGGTGACTCCTGACCCACAGTAATGCAGTTAACTCATAACTGCCCTTGGGTCAATAAATGCTGGCTGTGCCAATGATGCCCACATCCTGTGAATAATTATTTTTTAAAAAATGAAAATCATGAAATATAACTCTTTGTGAAGGTGGTCTGGTGGAGAGATTGACTCTCATTTGAAAACACTTCGGCCAACTAGACGTGCTCACCCAGCTGGGTCTACATCCTTTAGAGGTGTGTAGATTCAGGGGATGTTTGTCTGTGGTTTATGAATTATTGTGCTGAAAGGAGTGCTTTATGTCTTGGTAAAGTACAAAGATGGCACACACGTCCTATGCATGCAGGACCTTTATTTTGTGGGTTTCTTAAACAACTGCAACAGCCACAAACCTGAAATTTTGTAAAGACTGAGAGTCTCTCCAACATTACAAAGATGATTCTGGTGGACTGAATCTGGAAGCCCTGCTTCCAAACCCCAGACACACATGTTAAAGAGCACCTGCTGCAGGCTGATCTGACTTTCACTGATGGAATATCCAATACACGACCTTGGCACTTTAGACCTGTTTAAGAGAAGGTCTAAAGCTGCCAGATTCCAATGGAGAAGTACGACAACTCTGTTCTAGGACACATTTGGGGGAGGAAAGGTGACCTGTCAGAGACGTAAGCTACTCTTTAGAAGTAAGGTGATCTTTGGGATTTTTAAATGTGGCATGAATGTGCATTAGCATTGCATAATCTCATTGGAATAGTCAAGTTCTTTGGAATAGAACAATTAAAAGGAGCTGTCAGCAAGGATGTCATAAGAACCTTTCAACAGAGCTGATGTGCTGACAAGGCAAATCAACTGCCCTTTAAATATTTGAATTAAAAAAAACTATACAAAAAAAAAATTGCTTGCTATTTCATTCTATCTGTTGACATATGCCTGGATATTACCATTACAGGATTAGTGCTGCATGACTGATTATGCAATTATCACAGTGGGGTGCCTGTCATTTTTCATTTTGTTTGTCAGCACAACTTTTTGATAAACTCTGAGTTATATGGGATGAAAGCAAATTAATCGTAGTCAATGGATTTTAATCAATGAGACCATTTTTCTTAACACTGACTTCTACAAGACAAATAATAACTTTATCTCATCTTTGAATGGATTCTGATATTTTCCCATGGTGCCATGACGCATTTTTAGCAGTAAACTGGCATTGGATTTATTAAGTTTTGTGGGTCTGTTGGAAGGACTGGATCAGCATAAAGGGTATGAGGGCCAAAGGGCATGGTTGAATGGCATGGAGGATATGGGAGGGTTGTGTAGTAGAATGAGGTGGTATGAATGAGGCATGGGGGGGTAAGTGGGGATGAGAGGGGTGAGGAGAGGAACCCTTTTGTTTTCATTTTTATACCTTTAACAAAAAAGCTGGTGCACTAAGGCAACCCTTTCAGCCAGGCCATCTCAACACCTCGCAGCATCTGTATTTTTTCCATAGTGGAAATAAAATCTAGCCACCAGAACAAAACTCACAAACATCTGCAGCACTTGTCCCAGATTGGGTTTGCAGAACCAGAAATTTTTTCAATTCTGCACTTCCAACCTGGGAGCAAAAATCAGGCCTTACTGTTTGCTTTTAGTTGCTCTTTTCTCAGAATAACACACAAAATACAGTTCACTCACACACACACACCAAGAACAAAGAGCTAGGCAATTGAATGCTACACTAATGTGCACTAGTTATTGCTTTATGCCTTCCTCATGTGCAACCTGGACTTGTTTCTTTTCTTTTATTCACTTGTTGTATGTGAACACTGCTGGCTGGCCAGCATTTACTGCCCATCCTTAGTTGTCTTTGAAAAGGTGGTGGTGAGCTGCCTTCTTAAACAGCTGCAGTCTACATGCTGTGGGTTGACCCATAAAGCCCTTACAGAGGGAATTCCAGAATTTCAGGAAATAATCTTTAAGATATGAACACTCTTGATGAAAGCACTGAGATTTGCAAACTTGAGGCTATGGTTCTACGTGATCAGCTCACTGAGGAGGATGATCAACATCAAAGTCACTCGTCAGAAGAAGAATTATATTCCCATAGTCACTGTCCTCCTGGTTTGCTCGCTATCAAGCATCTCATGTTCCACTTTGAGTTTTCATCCAACAGATCACCTTGTTACAGGAAGGGTGTTATTAAGAGTTCAGAAAAGATTTACCAGGATGTTGCTGGGACTGGAGGGTTTGACTTATAGGGAGAGGCTGGGTAGACTGGGACTTTTTTCACTGGAGTGTAGAGGTTGAGGATTGACCTTTTAGAAGTTTATAAAATCATGAGGGGTATAGATAAAGTGAATAGTGGGTGTCTTTTCCCTAGGCTGGCGTTTTCAAGACTAGGGGGCATACTTTTAAGTTGAGAGGAGAAAGAGTGAATGTGAAGGGCAATTTTTTTTACACAGAGTGGTTGATGTGTGGAATGAGCTTCAAGAGGAAGTGGTGGATGTGGGTACAGTTACAACCTTTAAAAGACTATAAGAAATGTTTGGAGGGATATGGGCCAAACACAGGCAGGTAAGACTAGTTTACTTTGAGATTATGGTCAGCATGGACTGGTTGGACTGAACGGTCTGTTTCTGTGCTGTATGGCTCTATGACTCTGTAAGATAGGAGCTGGTACTAAGCAACAAATTGCTTTCATCTTGATAGAGATGATATGAGTTTGTGGTCATGATTTGGCTCTTTGATATGAACCCAAGGTGGAATTTTCCCAATCCCTGAACGTGTGGTCAATGGCGTATCAGTCAGGATCAGGTTTTGAATGGTGAAACAATAATCTCATCATACTGACCAGTAAGAGGCTTATTTGCATCCATTTGCATGTATCTACATGACATTAATCCCTAATTTCATCTCATTGATATGTAGTTTCCATTCTCCTACAAACCAGAAAGAAAATAGATGATGACAACTTCTGATCCAAAAGTCAGAATGGGTACCTTTCAACTCCAGGTCACTAATTTTTTACCTGAGCTTCCATCTTGCACAGTAGTCCTCAACATCTCAGGTTATACTCCAGAGACAGTGACCA